AAAAATAAGATAATGAAGAATAATACATGAGAATAATTAAATGAATCAAGTCTCTTTGTAATCAGACAAAACCACAACTAAGAAGCAAGCAAAGTGGACATGCTGAGATAGGAGAGCTCAGATCTTCTTGAGAGGTCTAGACTTTTGATAGTGACTTTGAAAGGTATAAAGGGATTCCGGAAACAAGGAAAGCGAGAGTAGTGTCCTGGGAGGAATTACGTACACCCTGAATAAAGGATGCTGGAATTGGGGTGCTTTTTCAGGACACAACGGCAAGAAGTCAGGGATGGGTGGGATGAAGATTCTGTGTTTGAGGTAGTGGAAGATGAGGCAGCAGTGGTGGGTTATGACCCTAGAGTCGTGATGTCCAGGCTTAGAAATTTATGTTGAGTTGAATGTGAAGCCACTGGTACCCAACTTTGAAAGGAGTAAAGTGGCCATACAGGTAGGGTGAATTAGAGACCAGTGAACCTGAAAACCAAACACGGCTTTTGAAATTATTTCAGTTAATGCAAAGAGGTATGGAGAACAAGGTCAGTGAAAATGGAGCGAGAACATTAGGGGAATTGTGCAAATTAGAATTGATTAAGTATGGGGTGGAGTAGGAATTAAGGAAGAGGAGGTGTGAAAAATGTTCCTCTGAGTAGTTGGTAATGACACATCAAAATGTCAAAATCCAGGTATTATCATATAGTTTTAAGTAGAGAAATTACCTTTATGTCATAATCCAATGCCTGTTTTTCACCTGTCATATAATAAATCCCTGATGGAATTAGGGATCTACCTGATGCATACAGCTAGTTTGTTGTAAAGCAGGGACTTGAGCCAAAGCCTCAGGTTCTCCTGTCTATTCTTTAGATTTTAAAGTAAGAATCCCTTACTTTAATGTGTTGATTTTCCTGTGAAACCTTATAATTAAGCTGATATTTTTATGTTTCCCAGCATAGTTGGATTAAGTAAATTGGGTCAGTGGTTTTATTTATTTGATAACTGTCTTCAGGATTTATATTGTGAAGATTTATATTTACCATGAAAATATTAATACATGAGAATCTTAACAGTGCTTTCAGATTACCTTAGTGGTTTGCTAACATTATCCAATTAAATCCTTCTGATTGAACTCTGCTGAGACCAGCTTGATATTGTGGCCTCCAGGGCTTTTATGGTAAGAAAATACATTCAAACTAAGAAAGTTTAAGTAAACTAGCAAACCAAGAAGCTAGAACCCAGTCATAAATGCCCAGTCATAATAGCTTTCAGTTACAGAAAAAAAGATTTAAATTTTTTCCCTTTGCCATGATACAATTCAGGGCTGAACGAAAGCGTAATGATCAATTATTCCATGAGTTTGCAAATTTTTCTGGAAAGGATATACAGTAAATATCTTTGGCTTTGCAGTTCATACAGTTTGTTTCAAATGTTAAATTCTATCATATTGCAAAAGCAATCACAGATGATATGTAAAGGAATGGTTCCAACAAACTTTTACAAAAACTGACTGAAGGCTGGATTTGACCCGTGGAGGATAGTTTACTGATCTTCTCACCCCTTAGTCTTATTCCTGAGAAGAAACCTATAGTCCCGCTAGAGATAATTAGGTTTTTCCAAGCTCCTTCTGGCTGGAACCCAGAAATCTATTTTATTTTACTGCTTTTGATTCTAATATTTTTTTCTAAAAAGCCATTTAATGATATCAGTCTAATTGATAACATTTGTGTCTTCCTCATCCTCAGCACTGTGAGGTATAAACATTATTCTAATTAGTCCTTCTGTGGTGCTCATGGAATTAGTGTAGGTAGTCAGTAATGTCTTCATTATGCTGACAGTAGTTTTTTGATTATTTTTTTCTCTGGAGATATGCAGGCATCCAGTCCCTTGTCTGTTGATCTTTCTTCAAGACTCTGTACTCTGTACAAAGTATTAATAAGCAAACTCCACAGCAATTGTATCAATTTAACTTAGCAACAAGACTCATAACAGATCACAGGAGATCTTAAAATTATTCCTTGTATCTCCTTCAATCTCATGTTCCAGGGGAGCCATGACTAAATTTAAATTGATACTGCTAAATTGATACTTACAGTAAGAAATAAACATTTATATAATTGTGCTAGGTAGTTTTTCCTTCATCGTTCTTTAAAAAAGGTGCAACATATTTCATAAAATAATATAATGTAAGACAACCAGATATTTTCCAAGTGCTTTTGATTTGCAGTTCAAGTATGGATTCTGCTAGCAACCTTAGTCAAAGGCCAGCATTTTACTTCTAGGTCAGAGCCCTAAGATTTGATTTTAGAAAACCTATCTTTATTGCATTTTCTGCTTCTAAAGGACTCTGTGTTTTATATTAAAATCGGCCATTTTTGTTCCTCCACAGTGCTTGGCATTTAAAATAGAAGATTAAAAACAAGATAGGAAACTTTTCTGTTTAGAGTTATCCCCTTCCAACTGTGTGTGTGTGTGTGTGTGTGTGTGTGTGTGTGTGTGTGTGTGTTCCGAACTTCAAATATTAACTACTTGTTAGCAATCCAACCACATTGTTTCAATTTTGAATACAATTTAACCATATACATACTTCCAATTTAGCTGATTTCTTTCCCTCCTAGAAGAGGAAGTGATACTATTTGCACGCCATTATAAAATCCACCTTTAGATCCAAGAAGGAAACCATAAAATGAGCCTTAGGGTCTACTGTTTGTGTCTAAATTCTAGTTTTGCCATTTTTACTATAATAACTGAGTTCTTATATGATCCTACAGATTCGAATCCCTGGTGGTTGCTGTAGAGAAAACACAAATGTAGAATGAAACCTAATATCAGGCAGTGGTAGTGTTTTGCATTTGTAGCAGGCTTAAAGTAAATACAAAGTTAAGGAGAAAAACCAGAAATTATTTCTCAATTATGTCGTAAGAATAACCTAATGTTGCATTGGTATTCAGAGATGGAGTCGAAACGTATTGGGAACCTCAGAAAAAAAATGGTTCGAAACTATGTATTTTGATAATCGAATGTTGAGGAGTACCGAAAAAGAAAGAAAAACATGATCAGTCCTGTGTCCTTGGATATTTTGGAAATTTTTGTAGCATTTTTGAGAATATTTCGAATGATAAAATTAGGTGAAGGAAAAGAAAAAGGAGAAAAGGAGAAACTATAAATAAGATAGAAATAAATGGACAATTAAATAAAACCAAGTTATGCTACACTTACTGTATTACATTAAAAAAACAGAACAGTGTGCCTCTACTTTCATCTCTTTGGAATTAAGAAAGTACACGTTCAAGGAAACCAAAAAAGGTCAAATTTAATGGTGAGATGTTAATGCCATTATAAAGTACAGATTTTCATTATAGTTAGACAGATTCTTAGTTTCTATCTCTATAAAATGAGTATATGGGCAATTATCATCAATGTTGGTGTACAGTTTCATTGATCATTGTGTTGCTGAAATATAAGATGCCATGAGAAATATTTATTATTATGCTATATCTTCAATTCTTGGAAGAAATAAGTTAGTTTAGGATTGATCTGACATAGCGGCGCCTGGGTGGCTCAGTCAGTTAAGTGTCCGACTTTGGCTCAGGTCATGATCTCCTGGTTCATGAGTTTGAGCCCCACATCAGGCTTCGTGCTGACAGTTGAAGCCTGTCTGGGATTCTCTCTCTCTCTCTTTCTCTCTCTCTGTTAAAATAAATAAACTATAAAAAGGTATTTTAAAAATCTTTAAAAAAGGATTGATTTGCCATAGTTTCTTTCTTATGTTCAGTGTTATGTTAAGTTACTTATGTTAACTTATGTTAAGTATTATATTCAAGAAAGGGGAGAAGTATATGTTTTCTTACACAAAAATGGCGGTACTTTTCTGGAATATGGACTTAGCATTGATTGCTTATTCATATATTTTACTCATTTCTTGAGCTCGAGAGTACCCTTACATTCAGATTTTTATATTATCACCAAAGGATTCTTTAAATGTTATTACAAGCTATAGTTTTAGATTAGAAGCATTTATTTAAATACTCATAATTGGTCACTTTGGGCCAAAGTCCATTTCAGCTTCTGGAGTGAAAAACAGGTTTACTACACACCTCAAGTATCTTAGATACTTTAAGCAGAATAGAGTTTAGAATGAGTTTTTATGAATAAAAAAACTATATTCCAAGTGAATTTTACTTCAGATAGGTATATTTCTCATGTTAGTTTCGCTCTACTTTTAGTGTAATCAAGAAGAGTTAATTATTTGAAAAACAAACTCTTGTTATAAAGCAGTAAGAAAATTATCCTTCTTAGAGTTGTTCTTGAATTATCTGAATTATCTTAACAAAAAGCAGCATGACTTCAAAACAAAGTACAAAATAAGGGGTCATGTGCAAGATCTTCTAACTTAAAAGGTCTTTCAATGTATATTCTTGGATCTGGAGAAGCATAATGACATCTGTCTTTGATTATACTTACATGGACAAATTCAAATTTTAGAGCTGTATTTAAAACATTTCAACATACACAATGATATTATGTTCTTGGAACATGGCACATGGTGGTAATTTTTAACATAATTATAGATGTCTGACTGGTCGTCTTTGATATAAATTATTAAAAAGAAGACGTTCATGGCAAAATCAGAATTTCTCATGGTTTAAGTCATATTTATCTTAAAACATTCAAAACAAACTATTTGAATAAAGATTTCTGTTTGTTTCAATATTGTTTAAACTACTTCTACAGAAACTTGGCTTTGATTGCTAAAATGTTTAGTTTAACTATTGACATTGTGGTTCTATATTGTCAGACATCAAGGAGAATGAGAAAATATTTTCTTTCTTTGGGGCATTTGTCAAGAAACTATATTAAGGGTATACTAACAGAAAAAAGAAAAAAAAAAAAAAAGAATTAGCTATGAATCTGTTTTCTTTGTAGTCCCGGATTCCTAATCTCCAGCAATCAAATTAGCGTGTGCGGTAACAATCGTTTTCGTCTTTGTGTCGTTTTGCTCCAATTTGCAGATCGTTTTAAATTTTACCACGATGGACCTATACAAGAGCAGCTTGTGCTGGTATGACTACATTGAAGTAAGAGACGGCTGCTGGAGGAAATCGCCCCTCCTTGGTAAGACAGTATTTACCCTCTATGTTGCCACACATATAGTCTGTCCTGCCCAAAGTAGATTGTTTCATTTTGTTTTAATTTTTTTAATTTTTATTTGTTTCTGAAAGAGAAAGGGTGCGAGCTGGGGAGGGGTAGAGAGAGAGGGAGACACAGAATCCTCAGGCAGGGTCCAGTCTCTGAACTGTCAGCACAGAGCCCAACATGGGGCTTAAACTCACGAACCGTGAGGTCGTGACCTGAGACAAAATCAGATGCTTAATCAACTGAGCCACCCAGGTGCCCCCCAGAGTAGATCCACTCAAGAGTTATCTTAGAGTTAACAATGTATGGGGTCCACATTTTAATTTTTTTTTAATTTTTTTTTTTAAGGTTTATTTATTTTTGAGACAGAGAGAGACAGAGCATGAACGGGGGAGGGTCAGAGAGAGAGGGAGACACAGAATGTGAAACAGGCTCCAGGCTCTGAGTGGTCAGCACAGAGCCCAACTCGGGGCTCGAACTCACGGACCGCGAGATCGTGACCTGAGCCGAAGTCGGACGGCTAACCGACTGAGCCACCCAGGCGCCCCCCACATTTTAATTTCTATTGTACTCTTTTCAACTTCAGCAAAAATACAAATAAGTAGATTGATTTTAAAGTAGCTTACATTATGAGGAAATACTTGGATCTGAGTATAACGATTTAGAATAGCTTTCGCCTATCTATTTTTAATCTGAGCATTATTGTTTTAATGCAGAAACCAGATCGATTATGTGAGTGTGCTTATAAGTGTTTTGTTTTGTTTGCTAAGGCAGTAGAATGTGAGCTGTTAGCTACATGTTTGGTGGCTGATTTCTTATGCCACACATGTTAGCCCTTCCTCTAGGCGTCACAGTTTTGCTTCTCAGAGAGTTTTTTGTGGCTGAGAAGAGCCATTTGTACTTTGTATCATAAATTGTAGCTCATATTTGGTGCTTACAAAAGTCGACTGCCAAAGTTTAACCACAGACCACACCATTAACTTGCATGAGGCACTTTACTGTTGCCCTCTGTTTTACTTAAAGGTGAGTGCTGTTGTGAGCGTGTATCTACTCTCTCTTTATATACATTTTTTGAAATGGCAACTATGCCTTTATTTTTAGGAGTAGCTCTGTTCAGTTGTGTTTATGTGCCATACAGATCTTTTTTCTTAACATCTAAAACCTGCTGAATGGACGCTGTTGTAGTCAAAAGTGTGTTAAAAGCCTTAATAAGAGTAAGAGATTCTAGAAGTGTTTAAAAATAAGGAAAAAATAAAGAGTTGAACTAGTTTGATAAGTCACATTGAGGAACACATTGTCTTGAACACTTAGTTTCTTAGTCTAAGTGAAGCAGTTTGTTATGTGTGTACGTGTGTTCATAAGAACACATTTCATTAAATTCATATTGAAGAACCAAATCTAAAGCTAAGTATTGAAGCACACTTCTTTTTTAGGATGCTATAAGGATATAGTATGCTTCAGGATATGCTTCAGTATATAAGTGGCTCACCAGACTGGTTCAGCCTGATCGTGGTTTTCTGTGGAAAGTTTTTCACACTCTTTCCCCCAAGACCTGATCCTTAAAGTATAGCCATCAGATTGGCAACATCAGAATCACTTGCTAGAAATGTAGATATTCAGGTTCTACTCCATTCTTTCTGAATTAGAGACTGTATCTTTCCATACTCGCTGGCATTTCTTATGCACATTACAGTTTAAGAAACACTACTCTCTTTTGCATGTCCCTAATTTACTTTGCCATTTAGGAAGACACCTCTTCATCTGTTGTTTCTTAGTATGAATTTAAGTTGACTACCATTTTTCATTTAGTGAACTTATGTATGACATCCCTGCCAGGGGCACACAAAAATGGGTGACAGTGTATTGTTTGTAAAATTATTTCGTGTGGATTGCTGTATTTAACCATTTTGTCCTCATATGGAAATGTAAAGCACAGTAGCAGACATACAGCGAGCCAATAAATACTTGTAGAAGGTTGAGGGAAGAAAGAAGGACTGACAAGTGTTATTATATTCATTTGGTATTATACTCAATTAGATACACAATTAGATAATTGTGGATACACAATTAGAAAATAATCACAACTCACACCCAGGTCTTCAGGTCCTGTTTGCCAACCTGCCTACTGCACTACAGATTATAACTTTATTTATGAGATGGAATATGTCCAGTAGTGTAAGATCCTTGAAGCAGTATGTGGGTCTCCCTGATGGGTCGTCATTGAGCCGAACTAGACCAAGAACTCCACTTCGGGCTGAGACACATCGTTAACCAAGTTACTATACTCTACAGTGACCGCTCTGATCTCAGATCATTTGTACCTTTTTCTGTTCTCCATGAAAGAATAGTCCCAACCTTAATGTATTGTCTGTCCTTTTACAAATATGTCTTTTGCACTAGCTGTTTCTTAATTCCGTAGACCATGATACTGACATCAGCCAGCCAATCTGAGGGTGGTATGTTCCTGTATTTTATAAATAGATTTGAAGAGATTATTTTATTTGTATACCTTTATTAAGTAAATATTAAGCATACTTCTAGCTCTAGTTACTCAGGATAGAGTATAGGAACCAAGTCAGGCTATATATAATGTGTATATACATATGTACATATAATTATATATATATCTATATCTATATATATACCTATATATAGATATATATATATAATTTGTAGCTAGAGTGGAAAGCAACTAGAATATAGAGTCATATTTAGGAGTCTCTCTTTATTCTTTTATTTCTTTTAGGTAGATTCTGTGGGGACAAGTTGCCTGAAGTTCTTACCTCTACAGACAGCAGAATGTGGATTGAGTTTCGTAGCAGCAGTAATTGGGTGGGAAAAGGCTTTGCAGCTGTCTATGAAGGCAAGTCGCATTAAGTTTTAGAGATTACTTCCCCTTAGATCTCTTAGCAGAGATGTCCTTTCTCTCATTGTCATTAGGATGATATCGTAACCATATTTTAATTATGAAGTTTTCTAAATCTGGGTCATAATATCCACAAGACTGATTTTAAGAAAACTACTCAGTCCATTTAAATTGCAAGAAGAACCTGTTTTTTGATACCAGTGATAGAGTAGCATATAAATGTACGCAGGGGTATGTGAGGGGAAAACGGCACAAGAGCTCTTAAATTTCCATTTGTTTCCATGATAGTATTAAAATGTCATGAAGAAATTATGATTTTTCCTTTGTACTAGGTTTGTGTCTAGTTGGTCCCTATACTGCTGAAATTCTCTGTCATAGGAAACTGCACAGAAAGCAATTGTACACATGTCTAGGGCATGCTTTGTCTAAGTGGGAGAGTCAGCATTCAAGGGAGAATTTACTAGATGCTTTGTCCTATACTTCTCTAAAACAATAAACTGGCATTGTGCGTCCGGGCTTTAAAAGCAGCCCTTTTCTTGCCAGGTTGTGGGCTGAAGAGGCCTTTCTTGCTCCTGCCTCTGCTAGCACACGAGTTTAGGTAATTTAGAAGACAGAAGATTTCTGCTTCCCTTAAACTTTTGAATAAACGGAAGCATTTTGTTTTAGAGATTAACTGTATGGCAGTGAAGAGCGTTATTTGGATGAGGCCACAGATGTTGAGCACATGATGCTAGCCTACTGCCAGAGGCCCAAAGAGTTCTGTGGAGCGTCTCTCTTGATCAACTATTTTACCTAAAGGTCAAAAGACTGTAAGAACCAGTTCAGGGAATCATACAGAATATGATAGAATATTCTGTCACATAGAATACATTTACAAAATCCCCAAAGGTTTTTAAAAGTTAAAAAAAAATGCTGTCTTTTACAAAGATGTAAATAAATAGTGACCAAAAAAATCCTATAGTCCCCTGCTGTTATCTAATATTTATAGTTAACTGACTACGTTTTTGCCATCTAAATATTTACAACAGTACAACCAGCCAACTTTGATTTTTATAACCTGGTCTTTATGTACTCAGCCACAGGCACTGAACTAAAATGTTATCTCAGAAGAAAATGAAAACGGAATGGCACTTCTGGGTTTATTTATTTGATTATTTTTGCCCTCAGCAATCTGTGGAGGTGAGATACGTAAAAACGAGGGACAGATTCAGTCTCCTAATTATCCTGATGACTACAGACCGATGAAGGAATGTGTGTGGAAAATAACAGTGTCAGAAGACTACTATGTCGGATTGACCTTTCAGGCCTTTGAGGTAAAGTCTTTTGGGCAACCTTCACGGAACATATCCTCCATAAATGACAGTGCCATTTAAGGGGATCCTCATTAAATGAGCAGAGAACCAGAGAATCCACTTTTCAATCAGGAGAGAAGCAAAGGATTGCCTATAAAATGTAACATCAAGAGTGAAAGAGGTGTTTTTTTTTTCTTTCCTTCTTTCCTCTTGTTGCAAACATTTTCAAGAAGATTAAAGTGAGTTTACGTTAACTGTGCCATTTGAATTAGAATGTTTGAAGTGCTGACCACAGTTTCTTTTGACAAATGCACAGGCTTCCTTCCCAAGACTGCTTGAAGAGTCCATTAAATAATAGAACTTTTACTTCTCTTGTAAACTAAGAGGTTAAAAGGTAGACCCTCGTTTTTTATTGTTGTTGTTATGAAGAAAATCCCTTCTTCACCTTTTTACCATTAGGCAGAAAACTGTTCCTATCAGAAATAGAGATTTAAGTGTTTTTCGCCTTTGATTTCATCAAAAATGTATATCGGGGAGGAGATCAGCACCAACATTGCGTTCTGAGATGAGGGAACAATAAACCAAAGGTTAGTCAGGATTCTGGAGCAAAGTCTGGGCTCCAAACTACCCAGCTGGCTGATGAGTCATTTCGGTGGGGCTGGCGGAACTTATTTCAGATTCGAAGCCAGCAGATGGGGACATTTGTCAAGAACTCCATGGTATTTTATATCAAAGAGTCGGCCTGGAAATTAGACCCCAAGGTGAAGTGGGAAGGAATAATGAGGTGGTGTGAGTAGGGGCAGGCAGGGGTCGGAGATCTAGATGCCATAATTGGAGATTATTTCTTCACTGATTAGAAGGCTGATTCTCTGTCCAAGCAGTCAGAAGGCTGAAGAGAACCCCATCCTCTGCCAGAGTATCCTTGCCACTGAGTGCAGTGAGTGTAGTGGTGTCTCTGTCTCCGTGGCAGAAACACCAGGGGAGTCCAGGCATCACCCATGAGCCCAGAGACTCTCTTGCCTCCACGTGCAGGCTGTGTAATA